TGGTCAAATTGGTCTTTATACTATAATATATGAGTAGTTTTTCTTTTAAGAAAATGATACGGTTAGATAGTTACGTGTTATAACGAAATAAAATATATGCTGTGGCAGTGACGTTGATCTGACATCGATCATCGATCCGGCATCAATCATCGACCTGATGTCGATCATCGACCAGTACTTTGGGGGGCCGCCCTGATATACTTATATATATAAGATAAAAGGGGATATTATGACATAGTTAAGAAAAAAAATTTATCATAGCTCGTAATTTATTAGTCCAAATCATATACCATTCGATTTGTCTCTACAGGTAAGAACGTTGATGTTATATGACTGATTTTTCACATGGTGTGCAACATATAAAAAAATAATTTTACAATACCAGATTATTCTGCTAGTACATGTTATGATTATAATCCAACACCATTTTTACTAATAAAAATAGTGTTAGATTATAATCGTAACATGTACTAGCGAAATGATCTGGTATTGTAAAATGAGATGTGTGAACGAAGTCACAAGGCATCCATTTGTCGTGAGATCACGTCCCACACCCATGACTTCAAATAGCTGCAGAGTAGGGTAAGTGATTAATAGTTTGAGATAGTATATTCAATAGTAATTGTCTGGGTAGCAAGTATGAATATAGGGTAAGTATGATGTATTGTGTGATTAGTAGTGATTAAGGAGTTTGATGTATTATATGGCATTATTCTGTAAGTATAATGTATTGTTTTGATTGATTAGTTGATGCCATTGTTTGATTTGTAAGTTTGTTATAGTTTGGTTGAGTATAATTTGTTTGATCATTTGAGATCAGTATGAGGTCATGATAAATAGCTATTTAAGAAAGAAGAGTTTGGAAGTCAGTTCTTCCTCTTTTGTCTTTGCTGCAAGCTCGACGAAAGTCTAGCTTTGTCATTATCATCCACCCTCCCACCACCAGGAGGAGTAGTATGGTATATTTGTGATAATAGGAGGATAGAGATGTGTTGATAGCCTGGGTGAGCAACTCAGATATCGGAAATAGTATTTGATAGCCTGATCGAACAGATTGGATGTCAAAAAGGAGTAAAGGAAAATAAGAAAGGAAAAAGAAATAGAGAAAGAAAGAATGATGCTAGAAAATGACTGTGGACCACGTGAGTAGCAAGACGAGATCCTGTTTAGTGTTTCCATAGTGATGTTTTCGTCTATATCCGGGTGATCGAGTGACAAATTATTTTTTTATATGTTGCACACCATGTGAAAAATCAGTCATATAACATCAACATTCCTACCTGTAATTCATTTCATCAAGATAAATCGAATGGTACCACAAATGCTATGCAAAGGGCAGGTATGCACTTGCAATATCTCAAGATCTAGTGATCAGATTTACACCATGTAATTCTGATCAATGGATCTCGAGATATTGCAAATGTGTCATAATACCCTCTTTTACTTTATATTATATATGACCGTGTGGAGTGATATTTTGTACAAATGATTATGTAGTCTACAGCAGGGACAGTCAAGCCATTGGCTATCCTGAGTTAACAATTACCATAAAGAGGCGTCATGTGATAAATAAACGTAGATCAATTTTTAAATAGTATTTATATAGGGATGTGATTATTAATATATGGGATTTCCATGTGCCACTAGATTAAAGACCCGATCAAAGTAGTTTTGTAAGTAATAATGAATTATTACTTATCCCTTACTTAATATTTTTTTTTTTTTTTTAATGTTAAAGGTGAGACCATGCTCTTATCTTTATTAAACTTAATGAAAACTTTTTACATG